GAAGGGCTCCTCCTCCACGTCCTCCATGATGGTGTCGGGGGCCTCCGACGCGCCGGTGATGGGGCAGATCATGGCGCCGGGCAGCAGGCTGCACGCGGGGATGGTGAAGGCCTCGGGCGCGCTGGGGTTGGGCAGCAGCGCCTTGGAGGCGGTGTCCTTCTCCTCCTCCTCCTCCTCCTGGCCCAGGCAGGCGTCCAGCAGCTGCTCAAAGCTCAGCGACTCCAGCCTCTGCAGCTCGGGGTCCTCGAGCACCAGGGGCGCGGGCGCCTTGAGGGGCGCCGGAGGGGGCCCGGCGGCGGCGATGGCGCTGGGGCTGGGGCAGGCGACGATGGGCACGCACTGGAAGCCGGTGCCGTTNAGTGTCCGTGATGTTGACGGGCTCGATGATTGGCGTGGTGGTGGTGGTGCCCTCCTCCTCCTCCTCGTAGCAGCTGGCCAGCAGCTCCTCAAAGCTCATCGACTCCACCCTCTGCAGCTTTCGCCCCTCGCACGCCAGGGACGCCTGCGCCTTGTGGGGCGCCGGCGGCGGCCCGGCGGCGGCGATGGTGTTGGGGCTGGGGCAGGCAACGATGGGGGCGCACTGGAGGCCGGTGCCGTTGTTGGCCGAGGTGTCCTTGGTGTTGTTGATCTTCATCTTGATGGGCGCCCTCTTCTTATCGCCCTCGCTGGGACCGACCTGCGTGGTGGAGGCGGAGGCGGGGGCGGACGCGCACGAGGAGCGGAAGATTGGCACAATGTTATCGTCAGAGGGAAACAGCAGGCTCTTGGACGCAAACACAGGCGAGGCGGCGGGCGTGGCGGCGAGCGTGACGGGGTTGTCGAGCATGCAGGTGAAGCTGGGGCGGGTGTCCTTGACGAGCTGGGCCCTGGGCGCCTGCAGTCGTGGGTGTGTGGACAACGAGGCAACTGTGATTCAAATGTCTAGGTGGTGTGCCTGCAGCTCTATCATACATGCAGGCGACCTCACTCTGCACCGCTGCTCCCATGACCCCACCGCGAAGCGGGGCGCGACTCAGCGGCAGCGGCGACACCGCTGCTGAAGCGTGCTCAGGGCGCGCCGCAGCACCAGTAGCGGTCTCCACGAACCACATATGATCGATATCCCACCTTGACCACGAGCTCGTCCNACGGCCTGGGGCTTGGAGGGTTGATACGTGGCCCTCTTCGCCCGAACCATGGAGTTGTTCTGCGGTCAGGGGTGTGGATCCATGTCAGAGCCTTTACCAGACGATCGCGACGAATCCAAGGACCGTCGGACACCCTGATCAGCCAGTGATCTAGGCGAGAGCAGCGTTGACCTGCAAACCGGGTCGCCCAAGGCCGCACACTCACCTTGATGACGACAGTAGGCTTCTTGCTGAGCGACGACGCGCAGGATTTCCCGCGCAAGCCGTTCATGATGGCGCTTGGTGTTGGTGTTGCAGCACTCGCTGCTTGTTGGGGGATTGGGGGCTTTTGGGGGCTTTTCGGGGCTTTTGGGGGAGTAGGGGCTTTCAACACTCAACGGTGCTGATGTGAAGAAGATAGCAAAGCGTGCAGGATAAGTAGTGCGCGATCTGGGAACAGCAGGGGCGGCAGCTGCCCCCTAGGTAGGTGCGTGGCACACTCTCATGAGAACTGCTGCGGCACCAGGTGGTTGTGGCGCACTTCAGCACACATGGAGCAAGAGTGTGGCCTCTGTCTACTAGTATTTTGCATTACTAAGATTAAGCAAGGCGGCATGGCTTCCTCGCTGACAACAGCACACCAGACAACAGCACCCCGCTCAGCTGCACGCCCTGTTGCTGGGAAGATGCCGCACTTGCGCAAGGGCTCCCAAGCATTGCAGCTTGAGAGCCTTACATGGGCTTTCAAAGAAAGAAAAATGTCCGTGTGCGTACTGTGGAAACTTGTGCAGTTATGCACACAGCGAGCTCTGTATAAGTCAAAAGCAAACACCCAGGGCACACAACAGAAGGTACGCAGCTGACCCAAAGCCTCCCTGAGCGGCTGCAACTGTTCCTTGGCTGCTGCTGCTGCTGACGCGCCCCTCTGCACTTAATCCAGTCACGAGAGCGCACCCAGTGGCTGCGGCAGCTGGCCTGGCTGCATCAGCACAAGTCGACATGTGCTGATGTGGACATGTCCGCAAGAGTGACACACCCTGAGCAGCGCCGCAGCTCCGCGCCCTGGCCCGGTGTCGTGCCGAAGTAGGCTCGGCGGAGCGCAGGCGAGGGTGCCGCGCAGCCGCGGCCACTGGCGCTCCATACAAGTTGCGCCCGCAGCTGTGCGCGCGGGCGCCGGAACGAGCTGCCGTATGTAGGCCGCCCCGTGCTCCCATGAGCGCGCGCCTGCAGCCAGCAACCGCCTCCATCAGCTGCACCAACGCCAGAAACAGAGCGCCTGCCATTGCCTGGGGGTGCGGGCGCCGAAAGCAGCGAGTCCATGCTGGCGTCAATCAGGCAACCATGACAGCCAGGGGGTGCCGGCGTTGAGCCGCCGCATGTGCAGCATACGGGCCGCATCAGGATCCCGCTGCCTGTATATGGAAGGGCTGCCACGCCCCTCCCAGCACGGGATTGATCGACACCGCCGCCATCGGCAGCGTTCGTGGCGGCTGCCAGCGCCCGCTCGCCGCAGCAGCGGCTGCCAACCCCACGGCCGCAGCCGCCGCTGGCGCTCAGCAGCCACAGCTCTGCGTCCGGTGCCAGGCACGCATGCCGCGAAACGCCGGCGTAGCACTCTGAACCGACATCCCCAAGGCCACCCGCCTGGAACGGCTATTTCTTTCAGTCCCAACCATCCGGCTGGGCTGCGGCCAACGAACGCAGGCACACTGAAGTGCAGCTGGTCAAGCAGCCGGCGCGCCGACGCGGCTGCGCCTCACTTTTTGGATGCCTCAGCACCCCCCAGGCTGCGGGCCGCCTCCGCCGTCGCCGGCGCCAGCAGCGCCTTGCTGACCAGCCAGCCGCAGCCGCCGCCGGCTGCCGCCCCGGCGTGCAGACCTGCAGCCTTGAGACGCGGTGCTGACGCCGGCAGGGCGACACGCGCGGCGGGTCCGCCTGTCGGGCTTCCACATGCGCCGCAGCCGCCTGCGCGACGCCGTTGCTGCGCGGTCAACAGGATGCATTGAGATTTTGAATCGACGAGGTGTCTACTGCGCCTCATCCCCGCAGCCACGCCCTCGCCGCCAACCCGCCC